TCCATTTGGTCATATTAATATAATTTGGAGAAACAATCAATGATCTTCAGTTGTTATACTTTAAATCTGATATGTTAGATCATCAAATTCTAGATTTAAATATATTTTTTTTCTGTTTTTTGATTTTCGTATTTTTTTATCAAAAAAAAGATATGATAAATTATTTAAATTGTATTGAAACACAAGAACTTTGCGTTTTAATATACCACGTTTTGATTTTTTGGGTTTGATATTGTATTCAACGCACACAACTTGTTTTGTTTTTGTTTTTAAGAAAAAAGAATGCAATAATAATGAATTTAAATTGTGCAGTTTATTCTACCAATTAAAAATGATCAATACAACGCCGTTGTATCTCTTTTTGGTATTTAGTCATTTTATTGATATCTATTAAAATTACAATTAATTGTATATTTTAAATTTAAAAAATATTTTTTTATTTTATTTTAATTTATTACAAAAATTAACATAAATGTTAATAATTATATAATAGAGTTGGTAGGAAAAAGTCTGGCTCGATAAAAAAGTCCAGCTCATTTGCAAATTATAGTATAATATAACATTAGTTGCTATAATAATGAAAACATTTTGTATTATTTCAAAAACATTAATTAAAAATCCAAAAAACAAAAAATAGAAACTAATAATGAATGGTTGTTTACAATAAAATATAGTTATTCTTATCGAGCAGGATTTTTTTCCATCAACTATAGTTTTAATCGAATAATTAATTTGTGTTTTTATCATTATGTAAATTAAAATAATATAATTAAAGTGACTTCTCAGGGAGTAAAAATAGGGTGCGCAACTATTGAAAAAATATTTGCTATTTGCCCATTTTTAACACAAAATTATACTTTGCTAATTGTTTTATTTTTACGATAAATCACCATCTACAAAATTTTGAAATATGAGATTTTATTCAAAAGATATGCCATTACAACCAAAAACAAAACTAAAAAATGAACCAATTGACATTTTTGTTATTATGCATTTTAGTTTTATAAACAACTTTTACTTTAAATCTTTAATGCAAAAATATTCGTGTTTTTAATTGGTAACAAACTGTTTTTCAAAAGTCCGTACTGTGGTGTCCAGAAATTTTGCGTTTATGTTGTTTATTAATTTTGGTAATCGTTTTTTTGAAATAAATTTCGATTGTTTTTTCCAAGTAAAAAAGAGAAAAACAGTCTTCAAAAAAACAATTATTATTTGAGGAATTTTTAAGCATTAAAATACCATATTAAATTTTTGAAATAATGTTTTTATGTTTCAGAAAAAAACATGTGACTGATCCTATAAGGGCATTTTATTATAAAAAGCTGATAAAATAAATTCCAAAATTTTTGGAAGTTGAGCCTTCATTTATACAAAATAAAATAAATAACAATCATAAAAATATCAAGTAATATTGATATTCTAATGGTGTTGTCACAATAATAACTAGGATATCAAAACTTAAAATTATTTAATATTTGCTTTAATTATTTTTTCTAAAATACTTTATTTTATTATTTTTTGTTTATAGGAAACAACCACACTTTTTATCTTTAATTGAAAATGGTATTTTAACAAAACTGATATTAATTAACAAATTGACATAAACAACAAGGTGAATACCTTTTCCACCCAAACCCGAAATAATCTATTCATAAAACTATATAAATGTTATTGTTTTTACTATACATTTTATTTTTTATTTTTTTATCAATTTATTATTAAACCATATTTTTACTAAAAAGAAAAAGTATAAACTTTAACTTGAAAATAAAAAACCTGATGGAAGAATTTGTAGATGATATAATTGTTTTGAAAGACAAATCTTTTGAAACTCTCTCTGATGATATGAAATCATTTATTCAAAATTGTGACTTAAAACCACAAAAGGTTGAAAAGGGTTACAACGCTATACAAATTCCAATTATGTAAATTGTGAAAAATAAAAGAACAGAAATGGATTTTGTTTCTCAAATACACTCAAAAAATTCTCAATGGACTACAATTACTTTTGGGTACAAAAATCGTTCGCAGTTTGACAGATGAAATCAAAAGTTTCGCATTTTACAATTTAAACGATTATGAAATTCAAATATATGCAGCAAAACACACACACACAGTGATGGGTCTAAACAAATATACACCTGTAAACACGAAAGTTGTAATTCTCAAATAATAATATTTATAAAACATTGTTTCATTTTTGCAATTTTCTTCGATCCTTGGCATTGTGGACACGATGAAACTATCAAACAAAAAAATTCATAATACAATTTCAAACGAACTTAAACTTCAATTGATTGAAGATGCAAATCTGGATATTCCGAGTTTTGTTTCTAAAATTAATAGACATCTCACTTTTGTTCCAAAAACTTTATACAGTGTAAGATGTCAATCAAAACGATATGATACTAAAAAACAAGCAGAAAAATTAAATCAGTTTTTAGGATCTGTCAATGGATATAACACTGTTGTATTTGTTGATATCGAAACCCGTTTTCTTGGATGTTTTTGCATTGACGTTTCGTCATTACATCAGTATGATTGTTCTTGTATTGCAGTTAATGACACACATTGTAATAATAAGTTCAAAAAACCTCTTGTTGCATTGGTATACAAATTCAAAAATAAAACGAATTTATTATGTTTTGGATTCATTAAAGATGCAACAAAAAATTCATTTGTGATGTTTTTTGAAGAACTCAAAAGCGAACTTGAAAACATCAACAAAACACCACTCGGTTTTACTTGTGATAGGTCAGAATCACAATCATTTGCTCTTGTTACTGTTTTTGGTGAGACTGTTTAAATTCGCCATTGTTACAATTATGTTGCAAAAATTTGTTTGAATGTATGACTTAAGTTAAACATAAATTGGTTTTTATTTGTTGTAAAAAAACACAAACTTAAAATAAATAATTAATTCAATTAAATATATCGATTGAAATTTTAATAAAAATTTACTATTATAATTAATTTTACATACTATTCAAACTATGTTTTTTATTTTAAAGTTGTTTGTCGTTCAGATCCACGCCAGCCTTTCTGAATCGATCGTCCAATTCTGCAATTCTCATTAACCTTCTTTAACTGGTTAGTGTGTCTTCTTTAAATTTGATTGTGTCTTTCCAACATTCTTTATTTTAATGTTGATTGTTTTGTTAAAACTCTTCTCTTTTTTGTGTACATTTTCGCTTCTTGGTTTTAGTTAATTGCTCTGTGGTTTTTCCTTCTCTGTTCCAATTTTGTTTCATATTTCACTTTCCGTTCAGCAATTGAAACTCCAGTAGCATCAGCGTTCTTATTGGGTTGTTCTTTCAAGATCAAGTTGTTTTTTCAACTTAGTCAATTTTTTCTCGAATGTGTTCTTCGACTGTTAGCAACTTGTTCAAAAGTCTCCAATTCTGTTTTGATTTCAGACATTACGTTTTCAATATTATTACACTCATCTAATTATTGGAGTTCATTCTTTGTCCTCATCAATTATTCTGAAATGGCTTTGTAGTCTATAATAGTCTTGACTTTCTTTTGTTCAGCCACCCAAACGTTCTTCAAACAGGTTATAGCTCTTACCATGGTCTTAGTGGTATCTTACTTCTTTTTACTTTTTGGAGTTTGAGTCTTTATGTAGTTTTATCTTCTCTTGATCAGGTTCAGTCGTATCGATATTGAGTCCGTATTGGTATTATTGTATTATTGTCACCGTTTGCAAAGTCAAATTGCTTTTATATCATGTCGGCTTTGGGATTCAAGTCATTGATCATCTTGTTTATTTCCTCTGAATTGCTTCTCATTTTTTAGCAGTTATTTAAACAACTTGTACTGTCAATTTATTCACTTTTTAGTCGGCTTCTCCTTATATTTTTTAAGTTGTTTTATTCGTCAGATGTGAACTGGACTTTTTGCAATTTGCTTTTAATGGCCTTCAAGCAACATTCACGCTTGAAGATTTCTGTCTTTATTCATCAAATTGTTCCCATTTTTCAGTGATTTTAATGTTATTGTTGACTACAAAAGCTGGTGCACTGATTTGCACTTGAAATAATGAGAATTGTGTTAAATATTTGATTTTGTTATTCCAGCTTTTTTATCAAATTGGTCGGTGGCAGTCTTCTCTACTTTAGCGTTGTCATTTAACGCTATTTTCTCATGTGCGTCAAGCGCTTAATAGAATTAATTATATTCATTTTCAAGTTTTTACTTTATTCGTGTTGAGTAATTTAAAAGGTATTTTATTCATTTTTTAAGATTGCAACATCTTTTTGGTTCATATTCAATTTGATACAAGCAATATTGAATACATGTAGTCTTAATGTGTTTGGGTTTAAATTAATAGTCAGCTTTTAATTATTTCAATGTATCAGAACCAGGAAGTCCATTTTCTATTCTTTATTACAACTCAACACTCTTCTGCAAGAAACATGCATTCTTAGTAGAAGTTGAAATGGTTGCCAATTTCTTCTCAGTTTACAACTGTTGATTGTACCTGTCTCTCAGATATATTTTTGTTCTGAAAGATTTGTATATCTAATTTCCCTTCGTTATCTTCAAAAGTCAATCAAGTCTTCAATCAGTTCACTGTTTTAATTGGAAAAAACATATTTTGTATCATTCAAAACTGCACCAACGTTTGCATATTGATTACTTACATTATAAAATGGTATTATGAGAAGTCTTAACTTAGTTCTCAAACCCGATAATAACGCCAAAATTCTTATGTAATCACTTATTGTGATCTTTTGTATTACATTTTTCGTGTTTTACGCGTCTTCTTTAGGTGATAAAAGATGTGTATCTATATACTCTGTGTTTTTATTTGACTTGGTGATAACACTACCTTTTTAGAAATGGCGGCTTAATGTTCAGCAATTTCATTTGAATTCATTTCTTTTTATTCATAACACCACAATGAGTTTCTCAGTATGTTATTGGTCTTCTTGAAACTTCATATTAACCTATTCAGGATAAAACAAGCGACTATTTAAGTTTAACAAATGAACAAGTCAAATTATTTCATAATAGAGTTGCTGTGTTTTTGAAGAAAATTTCAAACCTTGGAAAACATTTCCAATTGGCATATTCAATTTCATTAATTGTTTGATCAAATCGAAATAACGTTCTACAGATACAGTTGTTGGTGCAAGGGCCATCACTATATTGACAACTTCTTTTAAATGCACTAAATCCAACTTTTCTAGTTCATCAAACACATCCAACAAGGAAATAGGTTGGATGAACTTAACATACTTATCAATTTCTTTGTCGGAATCACTCCTTGGTAATTTATTACCAGTGTTACTTAATATTATTTCGCTTTCTTCTTTTCCAATTTTATTGATCTCGTCACAAAGAAGACGAATTTCAGAGGCAAGGTCCATGAACAATAGTGGCAGTTTCTCAACTTGGAAATCATGTGATGTAAAAAGAACATCAGTAATATAAAATTTTTAAGAAGTTCTTCAACTTCGTCAATATAATTGAGGTATTTTTTGATTTTTTCGTCGATTTTACAGTTTTGATAATCGAAAAAGTGTATCGCTTTGGTAATGTCCAAAGATTTGGTTACACTGTAATATCTGGCGTTTAAGTACAAAACAACAAGTTTAAGTATCTTCTTCAGAAAAACGGCGTCTTTTTCAGTATCTTTAGAAAAAACTCAAAATCGTCGAACCTCTTGTCATCATTGTTATCGTCTAACTTGGTTATTTATATTCTAAACATCTTCTTGTAATTTGAAACTCTTTGCCAATAAACTGGTAATGATGAATCTACATTTTGCATACTCACACATAAGTCTAGTAGTAGTCTAACCACATCATTTAAGATATGATAATGGTTCATAATGATTGGTCTGGTAATATCCAAATTATATGCTTCTTCCCAAGTAATGTTTTCGCCGTTTTGAACAATGTATTCAACACAATCATTCTTCTTTAGATTGACATATTGGCACACTGAATCATACTGTTCGTTTAAAAGTTTGAGATTGTAACAAATAGACAACCATCTCGTTTTTGCCACGGTATTGAATTTGTTTTCAGTTATTCCCAGAGTTACTCTTTTGGACTCTTCAAACTCTTTGACGTTATTTTTAGAGCATAACCAGTCGACTAGTAAAATAAGCATTTCATAATCTTTATGTCTCATCAAATCCTCGCCAATTAATATGACTCGATGGGCCATACAATGGTTCCCAACAAAAAATCTGGATATTAAAGAGACTCCATCTTTTTTATAATTGGCAATTTTTCTTCCAAATTCCACAATACATTTTTGAGCTGCAGGACACCCGTCCCAACAACATTGTACAAGTTTATCAAACAAAATTCGGAGTGATTTCAATGAGATTCAAATAACCAGTTGGATAATGCCAGTGCTGATGTTGAACCCCAACCAACTTTAGCAATTAAGGGAAATGTTTTGTACATTCCCCCACAACACATTCTCACTATCACTACATACCTTTTTGGTTATTAGCACAAGATTCATCCGCCATTTTCACGACACAATCACAATTTAGTATTTCTTCCAAAATAACACCTTTTTGTAGATCATTAAAATTAACCACTCCTCTAAACAAACTCTTCGGGTTGATACCAAGATTCTTTAACCGCCACAACATATGTGGGGCAAAAAATTTTATAAATATTTCAAGACAATCTGCAACAGCAGTGACTTGGGATTGTGACATTTCCATCTCAAGGCAAACACAATGAATAAGAAATGTAACGAGTCTTTTGCACAATGTTCCATAACAAAGACTTTCACTTTGTACGTGTTCATTTTGGTGGTATACTTCAAACAAAAAATCAACACACTCTTCGAATCTTATTTTGTCGAATTTGTTTGAAGGAAAACAATATTCTTTCATTGATGACATAAGTTGATGTAACGGCCATGTGTTGATAGGTTCATTTCTTATTTTTGAAAATGCGTTATTTTTAAATGTTTTAACTTTGATATCAGATGTTGTCTTTTTACATCTATTTAAACGCGGGAATGGTGACGAAACAACACTAATTATCGAATGCATACACGTTGATTCATCATCAAACAGAACGTTTTGATATTCAGGTGTACCCGTATCAACTATTGAATATTCACCAGCAACTCTGATATCCACAAAAAGTGTATTTGTTCTTAATAATGAGTTTTCAATAACAGGGATCATTGGTTGTGTTGATACATTTAGTGTATTTTTAAATGTAAAAGTGTTTGAAGATGAACTTTGTATAGGGGAAATAGAATGAGAATTTTGTAACATAATATCAAAACAGCCAAATGTTGCTAAATCATGTTTTGGACTTTTGTAATAAGATTCGCCTTCTTTACTGGTATTACTAATCCATGAATACATAGCATCTTTTCATTTAATATTTACAATTCCTTTATTGACATTTTTAGGTAAAAATAGAAAGTCTATAAATTTGTTTACAATTTTACGTTTGGTCCATTGTTTGTCCAATTTAACAGTCATCGGTTTTATTATTTCTTCACTTGAATATGCCGCATGTATAAAATGCTGATAATCAAAAACAAATGTTATTTCTTCAAAGCTCAATAATTTGTTTATTATAATATTTTGGTGAGATGTATGACTTTTTTGATGTTTTCAAAAATACAGTTTCATGTAATAGACAAAAAAGAAATATTTTTCCATTGAATGTAATCGAGACAAACCCCTCTTGGAGAAGCTTGTCTTCCATATAGAATTCCATGTGAGGTATATCCATCATTAAAAATTTATTAGTGTTTAAAGATCATTTCTAAGTTTAAAATAATAAAACTTCTATTTTAATGTGGATTTTGAGTATTTTAAACTGTTGATATAATTTATATAATTAAATAAATTGAATTTATGTAAAATTCTATTAACTAAACAATGAAATACAACTAGCTCATAGAATTGTTAATATTATGAATTGATCATGTCACAAATGCCGTAACTAATCACAAGTTTATCAGATGTATTGACCAAGAAACACAGAACGTATTTTGAGTATATATTCGAAGAATTTGTATTAGTTCTTTTTAAATACAAGTTACACACATTTTTTCATTTTTCGCTGCCGTATAAAATGAAGTAATTAACGTTTTAAAAGATACTTTGTTCTCAATATAATTGTTAAAAACAAATAAATTATCAAACTACGTTAAATGCTTTGACTTAGAAAAAACTTGCAGAGAGAAAGTCTCCACTTCTTAAAAAATAACATAGTTGATATATATTTTGCCAAAATATTTATTGATCCAACTGCTTTGATTGATATCAAATGAAGTATCCAATAACACAGATTAATATCATGTCTTTATGTTTTTGTTTACCTATTATCTTGCGTTCAAAGTTTATATTAGGAAGTATTACACACTTTAGTAAACTTATTTCAACATCCTCAGATTATAAAATTTCACTTTGTAGCGTCTGATGATACAGGAAAAATATAAACAACAAGGAGACTGTGTATATTATATTTTTGTATGATGATATATTTACATTTAAATACAAGCGAAATTGAATGGTTGACATCAAAAATAAAAGTTATGGTGTTGGGTAAAGATACCAGAAAATATAGATTTTGCCATCTGGTTGTATATGTAGTAGTAAATCAAACACATACTTTATCGCTTTTTCTGTTTTTAAATTAAAACGGTGCTTTAGGAACGTTTACGTTATTTGAAAACTTCACATAAAACCTTAATGATGCGAACAAGATTGTTGTAGGCATTTAAAAAACACAGAAAAAAATAAAGTCTTGAAAATTGCAAAATATGCAAAAAAAGTTTGAAGTGATATTTTTTGCTATTTTAATAGCTGATAAGAGTAAAAATGACATCATTTTACACAAAACTTAAAGTATCTTGTTTTAGTTATACTAAAACATAATTAAATTTTTAAATCCAATACTTTTTGGAAACTTATAGTTACATTTTGTTAATTTAAGTGTGTTAATAATAATTTGTAATTCTGTTAAAGTCAAACGTTTATTTAAGTAAAATATTTTGTATCTATGTTTGTGACTTCTATTAAGTAAAGTTGTCTATCGAATTTCTTTGTGATTTTTTTCACTAACATAGTCACTAATTTGCACAATTTCGACTTTATTTATTACCAACCTTATTTCTTCACTTTTTACTAATAAACTCTCAACATTTTTTAAAATATTAAAATTGAGTAATAATAAAAAAATAACAGACTATGAATTTCCGTGAAATTTAATTAAGTGTTGTTATGTGTTACAATATTGAAAACCCCGTTGACGACATTGACAAAAAAGTCGCCTTATTTTAAATAAAACACGATTAAACACGCTTTACATTTTTTGGTAATATTGTTTTCTTTATCGAATTTGATGAAATTTTAGTGTATAAAGACATATTTACACTCCTTTTACATCAAAAAAACAACCTAATACATTTACCAAGAAATTTATTCAAAATATTTATTCAAATGGAAATAAGAATTGAATTGGTATTATCACCATTTTATTAAATAATAACATAACTTCGACTGTAATAATATATAATGTCAAAAAGTTGGTACCCAACACTTGTTAATTTAATTTATGTATCACTTTGCCGGCATTATTGTCCCTTGTTAATAATGACTTTCCAACGAATACAAATAACCGTGTTTCGAATTTATAACCAAATATCATGATGTCACCAACAGTGTTAATACCGACGTGTTAGTAACATTTCGTCTCTAATTATTATCTTGCTATTGCCATACATTGTAATTTTATTTTTCGTTTCTTCTCACAAATATTATCAATGTCAAAAGTCAAATATACATTCATCACAACACCAAGATAATGACATAAGTCGAATTCGATTTATTAAAAGATGAAAAACAGCTCTTTTAAAAAATTCACTTCAAGCTTTCTATTTCTAGTCTTAAATTTATACCCATCCCTTTGTTAACTGAATTTCATAACATATAGTATGAACAAGGACAATTTTAATCGTATTTTATTCTTAAATGAACAAACATTAAATCGTAGATATAATCAAAAATATATTTACAATGATGGTTATCAGTGTTTCACATATACTGGTAGCAGGCACTCTGTTTAAATATGAAAATGATGTTATTTAAATTGTCGAACATATCGATCTGTTTCCAAGAGTTTACTTAATTTCAAATTCATTTGTCTTTTACCACGAAAAAATAAAGGATTTAAAGGAAATTTAGTGTCTGAAATACCTGTCAAATACTTTATTTACCTAAGATCGACTTGATGAAAAACGACATTTTATAAAACTTTTGTACTTTATAATTGTGCATTGTTTTGGACAAAATGTAATTTGTTAAGAAATAATTCTGAAACATAAAAACTGTTGTTCTAAACATATTATGTCAACGTGTCGTTTATAATTAGTTTTTTTTAAATAATAACAGGCAATTAAAAAACACAAATGATTGTTTGAAAAACAACCTGATTTAAAACTATTAAAATATGTAAATATAATGCTTTTTAATACTTCATTTCTTGTTTACATTACATTTATCAATTTGAAATACAATTGATTTTTTACATAATCATGGGTTGTGCAAAACCGATCAGTTTTAACAAAACAACAAATAAAAACTTTATTATTTGTTATTTTTTATAAATAATCGCCAAGTTATTGATTATGCCTTGTAATAATATCAAATAAAAAATTTTTCATTCAAAAATACTCCAATGTTTTGTGTATAAATTATTGACAATTATTTATTTTTTAGTAAAATTTCAATTCATTTTATAGTAAAAGTGGTCAAATTAATAACACTTTTGTATTTTATTTATTCAACGAAATACCTATTATCAATTATGAAATTAAAAAAATACAATTAAAACAAAAAAGTAACAGTATTTGTAAAAAATGGAATTATTTTATCCAGATTATTTAGACCAAAATCAACCTTTATTATATTAAAATTATTCATCATACAATCCAATTGTTAAGACCAAAATCATGGGAATGTTTTCGTTTCAACTTGTTAAATGGAATCTTCGATAATTGTTTTGTGTTTGAAATTGATGTTTTTCATAATGTTTTATAATTATTTCCCGCTTTATTAAGTTAATATGTTCTTATTTATTTGGTAATAATAATAATAAATTTGTATTTAGTTATTCAATTAGATTAGAAAGAAATATTTATTATCAATAAAATACTATATTTCAATTATTATTTTTAACACTTAATATTTTTAAGGCATTATAAAGTTACAGGATAGCTTTTTTTCAGTTTTCTGAATCAAAAAGAGTTTTTTAAGTTTTTTTATTGATTTTGAAATATTTTTAATAATATTGTATATACATTTGAATATAATCAATCAATGTTTAATAATATCTTTCATAATGAATATTATTTTAAATATAAGTATTGTTATTATATTTGACTTCTATGAACTTATATCAGATTAAACATAAACAACAATAAAAATTTGATTAAACTTATAAAACTTTTCAGTTTTGTTATTTTTAACAAAAACATTACAAAATTGTAATTGTTTATTGAGTTGATAATTATAATTAAAATAATCATTGTAGTAGTATATAAATTGTGCTGATTTCGTGCACCCTTCGGGAACACTCAATCTTCACAATTTCGTCGCTTCGCTCCGTTATTTTAGGTTTAATAGTTTTAGGGTTATTTTTTAGTTATTATTTCAAAGTGATAATATTTTTTCTTATTTTAAATGAGCACTACACAAGAATATTTGAAAAAGAATTTTCACAAATTTACAAATACTTATTCCGAAAAAGAAATTTTGGATTGTTTTAGGATTAAAGATGGAATTGTTAAAGCAGCATCTACTAAAATTTTAAATAAAGAATGTAGAAAAGAATTATTGAAAATGAATATTGAAACCAGAAATGTTTATCTTGATTATAAAGAAAAATTAGAACAACACATAGCGGCGCCTTTAGCGCAATTATTTTCAAGAATTGTGTTTGATAAATTAAATAAAACTGATAAACAAACTCTTGGATTAACCCTTCGAGGACTGAAAATTTTTTTCTTTTTTTTTCAGAAAAAAAATTTCAAAAAATAATTTCACTTTTCCAAAAAAATGAAAATAATGGCGACTTTTCATGAACAATTTAGAATTATTTTTGACTTATTTGATAAAATAGTTCAACTCAAATTCAAACTTTTGAATTATTTATAAAACATTTCATCATTCATAAACTCAAATTACTTGGTTTTTGTTAAAGATTCGTCCTTCAATCAATAAAATATACAATTTAACAAATTAATATTTGTAATATAATTAATACGAAAATAAAATGTTTTTATAAACAAATAAAATTGTTAATAAAAATTGATTAAATAATACTATCAGATATTCGAGTTTTCTAAAAACAATCACATAAAAAACACTTAAAAGTGTGTACAATTGTGGGTTTGATATAACCAATAAGATTGGTTCAAACCAAAATAAAATAACAATATAACAAAAATAATGTTGTTGAAATAAAAAATGGATTCCACTCAAACTAAAAATACTTAGAGAACCAAATAACATCAAAATATTACGATAAAAACCCACTACTTACTATTAATTTTGTGTGTTATTAAACTAACACAACAATAACACTAAATAATAATCTTTTATGGTAAAACAACGCTATAAAACATCAATTTAAGTCAAGAAAAATAGCAGTTTTGGATACATTATACAATGCATGACAATAGACTAATAAATACTATAGTAATTTTAAATTATAAACAAACTATAATAAATCAACTTGTGAATAATAAAAATGATAATTGAATTATTATATATTTTATGATTTATTATAACAATAATAATGTAAAGTAAACCAAATGAACACCTGCACAAATATAATTAAATTGAACCAAGCATGAACAGCCTTGATTATGCCATTTCATTTCTCATCTGCAACTTTCTCCTTCTCATGTCTGTCGTTAATGCCTGGGTACATTAAATTCAATCATAGGAGACGATGCTTAATATAACTTGTTTCTGATATCGACATTGCACATTGTGATTGAGTTTTAAGTTGTCTCGTGGATACCTGATGCTTCCATGCCAATAAATGATGGCTGAAAGAGTGCTTCTGGACATCTGAATATCTCGTTTCCAATGGTAATGATTTCACCATTTGATAGTTAATGTGATTTCTTAAATTCTGATGATGGGGAAGCCTTCTACATTTCTCTGTTGATGTCAAGAGCAATGTAGTAAACACTAATCTGTGTTTGTAGTTCACAAAATAATTAGTTTATGTATTTTATTTTTATTTTTAAACATGGAAAACAAGTCTTTTGTTTTTAATTTATTACTATGAATGGAACACAATTACGTGTACTTTCAGGAAATAACGATAAAAACACAAGAAAAAAATAAGATAATTTGCAACAATTTGTCTTGGATTATTATGTTGGTTAGTAGTGTTTTTATTTGAACTTTAAATTCGATTGTAATCCATCTCTAATTATTCGACTCTATTTAATTCTTCTTGTTTTTTTTGTCAAGTATGTTTCTGTCTTTCGATAATTATTTTTATTTTTATATACAACAACATTATATTACCATTTATTGAAATAAATATATTATTTAAATAATTATTGATAGTAGAAGAAAAATATAATCGATACTAAACACAATCAGTTTAAAAAACCAATTTTCTTAAAACTATTATCAATTGTGTTGTTGTATTTATAAAAAATAATAAAATCGTTTACTAATAAGTTTCTATTATAATTATTATATTAAAGTAGTTGTGTATATATTAAAAATACAACAAAAAAGTTGTTTTGTTTATTTCGTTTTAATTGAGAAATTTAAATCAATTTTTATTTTTTTTATGGATTTCAAAAAGTAGCAATAGTATATTTTTACAATAATTTATTTATTATTGTAAATTAATGTATATTAATTTGGATTCAAGACAATGAAAAATACATTTATCCATCGAACGTTTGAAAATAATTCCACTCAATGAAACATAAAAACAAGCTAATAATCCAATTTTAAATTAGTTTCACTAATAAATATAATCAATAATACCAATGAAAATTAGTTATAATTTGTATTATTTTAAAATAAATATAATCTAAAGTATAAATTAAATTTATAATGATTTTTTTAATTAATTTAAATTATTTTTATATAATACAAAAATGTTTAAAAAATTTATTCATTGATCGTTTTTATAGTAATATTATTATTTATTATATATATGTAAATCATTGTAATATTATAATATGTTAAATTAAAACAGTATATTTCTATCGCAAACATTTTTATCGAATTAAAAAACATAAACCTTATGCAAGAAGACGAGATTGTTGGCACATTTAAATGGAAGAAAGAAAAAGAAGCACCAAAAAGCTCACGACACGTTAAAGCTTCGCCTGATCCGACTTACTCGTTTGATCCCAAAGGAAGTAATTTAACTGAAATTGAGTGTTTTAGGTTGTTTTTTTGTGAAGAGATAGCAAATAACCTTTTATTGTTTTCAAATAAAAAAATAGCCAAAGAACATAAGACTGATGATAACAAACTTTCTAAAACGAGCATCCTGAGGTACCTAGGAATTCTTCTCTACATGGGAGCTCACCATGATGTCATTAATCCCGTGGAAGAGCTTTGGTCAATCGACCACGGAAAATCTATTTATAGAAATAGCATGCCACGTGACATGTTTAAATTCATTTCTTCACACATCGAAACTTACGATGTGGGCCAGCCAGATGATGTTTGTGATGATGCATCAGACACTTCAGATGATGGGGATGTCGAAGAGAAAGAGGAATCTGAAAACGGGCCAGAAGGAGAGTATTTCAACTGTGCGGAATATTCAGATCGAGATTTCAGAGATCTCTCTGAAGAGCAACTCAGGAAAGATGTCAGAATCAAAAGGGGCATCGTTGGTAGTGGAGTTGTTAAAGTCGTCCCTGCAATAACTCCAAATGCACACGACAGCTTTTCTAAAATTAGAGTGATTTTAGATAAGTTTATTTCTAATCTTGTCAACCAAACCTATTACAAACCTAGTAATAGTGTTTCGGTTGACGAACATTTGTTCTTATAAAGGGCATATGTGGGCTAAGGTGTTTATTAAGTCTAAGCCTGACGTTATGGTATAAAGTTTTGGGTTTGTTCTATTTTTACCAAATGAGTTTTATTTATGAAGTCAAAAATGACGGATAGTTATTATTGGTTTGACATGAATGATCAAATTTAATAATTTAATTATTTGTTTATTTGAGTTATTTATAGTTTTCTAACTCGTAGATGTGTGCTGACTGTGAGACAGGAATGACTCTAAACCTCCAAATGTACTGTGGTAAGTGTGGTGGTAAGGAGGACAATCAGGGCTTTAGAGTGGTCAGGGACATGGTGCTACCCATGTTATGCCGTGGTAACAAGTTTACAGTTGTGTGTGACAACTTCTTCTGTACGTTAAGGTTGTCACACTACCTTGCTTCATGTGGGTGCCAACTTTTGGGAACCATGAGGATCAATAGGAAAGAACTTCCTGACGAAGCAAAGACCATCAAAGGGAGAACTCCCGATACCACCATCTTTTTCTCGAAAGGAAAGTGTAAGCTCATCTCTTACTTCAACGAGAAAAAGAAGCTGGTATTGGTCTTGTCAACCTGCCACGAAAAGAATGAAATTGAAGTCGTCGAGCAGGATGTGTTCATTGGCAAAGAAAAAACGACAATACATAAACCCCAGCCCATCCTTGATTACAACCACAAAATGGGTGGGGTTGACACTGTGGATCAGATGACCAGGTATTATACGTGTAGACGTCGAACAAACAGGTGGAACATCAGGGCTTTATATGATATGATTGATATAGCTGCCTTAAACGCGGATAAAACGTACTCAAATTACCACCCCTGCAAACGAGTGGATTTTTTGAACAATCTTTCTGGTGCTTTAATGAAAATGAAATGATTTTTCTATTTTGTTTGGTTATTTTATAAAGTAGGAACTGTTTCTTTCATTCAATACGTGCTTTTTTATTGAACCTCGAAAAAAAATAATCGTGAAATAATATAAAAATAGGGGTCATTATACCATTTTTTACTTATAGATAAGTTTTTAAAAATTTGTGTTATAACAACATCGTGACGTCGTTACTCAACATCATAAACAACCGTTGGTAAAGTATATGCATGAGTATTATGGTGATAATGGTGTTATAATGGTGTTTGTTGATAATTCTATCAAATTGTAAATTTATTATTACAAAACTATAATTTATTAAATTTCCATTTTTATAAATAATATTTTTTATTATATAATATAGTTCAAAATATTTTTTTTATTATTTGTTAAAATTTTTGCTATTTGTTTTTTGTTCATAATTTCTATTATTCCTTCAATTTTAATTTATATTATTTGTTTGTTGCCCAAAAATGCATAATTTAAAAATGCATAAACAGTGAATGCAAAATAAGCATTTGATTACCATATACAATAACATTTATATGAAAATGATAATATCAAATCAATTTTGACCTTTGTTTATGTTTGAAAATGATAAAAAATTCAAATTCCAAACAATGAATTTAATCTTGCTTCCTTGACAGTGGCACGACTTGAAACTCAATGGATGACCATAAAACCTCATGTTGATTAAATTTTATACAAACGCGACTATATTGACTGTTTAAGTCATTTTCGAGAATTTTTCTCAATTTTGTGATTTTTGATACTTTTGAAAATGTATTTTAGATATTTTTTGTTTATTTTATACTTATGTTCACTA